AAAAAAAAAAGAGTATAATAATCTCTTTTCAATAAAAATAAAAGAAGTGAAATGGATAACAAGTTGAGAGATAATTGCTTCCAATTATGTAATTCAAAATAAAATTTATATATATATAAGGAAAAAGTGTCTGTCAGTTTTACCTCCTAAAAATTAGGAGGAAAATTATCTTAAAACTACGTTGTTTCAATAAATTTTTATTGAGAAAAACTAAACTACCTCATTTTTAAAGCATACATTAAGGTGATTTTTGTCTTTTTTCTTCCTAATTTTTTGGAAGTAAAATAGACAAGCACTAACCTCTGTATATAAAGTGTATAATTACAAATGAATTCTACTAAATTTTAATTAAGTCAAACACAATCATGTGAATTCAAATCATTAAATTAAATTAAAAAATTTTGTAATTAAATCAAGCACAATAGATTTAAAAATTGCATTACACACTTTTCTATAGAATAAAAGTTCGCGCCCTCCGTTATCAAATTGGAAGAAGGTTGAATCCTTTTTAATACTCCTATATTTTTCAGCTTTTTGATGAGTAATATATATTTTTTTTAAATATGTCTAACCATCTGCACTTCTTAAAATAATTTAAAGTAATTCTTTAAAAATTTTGTAAAAATGTAAAACACAAACTATTGGATTGCTATTGAACCTAGCCCAAACTTGAAACCCAGTTGATCTCCCTAAGAAAAAAGGAACAATAAGATTAACTTTTTATATTTTCTAATTACCCTTCCGCAAAGAAACAAAAAATGAAATAAAATAAAAGAAATGAATGAAATACCTTATCGTTGAAAAGTGAGATGCCGCTGCAATTACCACCGTTGAAGAAGCTAATAAGTTCTGGTAGCTTTGTTAATGTTAAGGACCGCAGATTGTTGCCAAGCTTACATCCTTCACTTTCTTCAACGATATCATTTCCGTTGCCTTGCTCCTCCACGTCATCAATAATCTCTGCAATGTTGCGGCAATTTTGTACTGTTATTTCTTGAAGTTGAAGCTGTCTGGCCATGGAGAAGGAGAACAGATTCTTCAATTGATGACAACCAACAACGGTTATCTTGCTTAATACTTTAAAAGGTGCTGCTCCAGTCAGACCATGACATATCTTCTCCATTTTTGGCAAATTGGAAAGGGTCAATACCTCCAACATGGGAAATACCTGGGAATGAAGCAACCTCCTCGCCGGATTAAAGATGCCTCGAATGTCTGGAGCATTTTGGACATGGAGACACTTCAGATGTTGAAAACCTTCATTA